TATAAGGTATGATGGGATTGGTATGTCATTTTGACAAAAATCCCAAAAAATAAAAGAAAAAAATAATAATGTTAAACTATAATTCTAACATTTATTGCGATGGCTACATGTTCCCCGCGACTTCGCCCGCGTGTAATTTAGGGTTTTAATTACATTTCTCAGAATCCTAATTCTTTTTCTCAAATATAAGTAGCCTAAGTTACTCCTTAGAACATCAGCTATCTGCCAGTGAAAGTCCCGTCGAAATCGGTGTAGCCGTTTCGGAGATTAGCCGGAACAAACAGACAGACCGACAGACAGACAAAAATTTTAAAAATTGTGTTTTTGGCATAAGTACCGTATATCCATTCATACATACATACTATACATAAACACTCACGCCTGTCACCCAGAGGGGTAAGCAGAGACTATGGACTTCCATTTGGCACGATCCTGACACACCTGTCTCGCTTCCTCCACATCCATATACCTACCCATACACGCTCGTCGGTTAAAGGTACTCTTAATTTGGCCCATTTTCAATATATCGCCAATTTGGTCGATAAACTTTCGCCTAGGGCGACCTTTCCCGACTCTGCCGTTCACTTCTGCAACATAAATTTGCTTTGTCACTCTTTCCTCATTCATTCTTTCTACATGACCAAACCACCGAAGCATTCCTTTCTTAATCCTGGTCACAACATCATCTTGCAAACCATCCTCTTCTCTTATTAAACAATTTCTCACTCTGTCATTTAGATTCATCTCTAACATACTCCTTAATGAACGCATTTCCACAGCATTTATTCTACTCTCGTGCTTTTTCTGCCACACCCAACTTTCACTACCATACATTAAAGTAGGGACTAACACAGCATTGTGAATTGCCATACGTGCCTTTTTGGACACATTCTGACTTATCACAATAGGGTGTAGAGCCCCATTCACTCTATTTCCTGCATTCACTCGTCGTTCTATATCCTTATCAACCATCCCTGCTAAACACACATCACAAATACACAAACTCATCTACTTGCTCGACCAACTCCCCTTCTATTCTTATTTCACATATCGTTTTACTTTCTTCTCTTTCAAAAATCATAACTTTCGTCTTACTTGCGTTCACTTTCATTCCCTTTTCTTTTAATGTCCTGTTCATTAATGTAACCATCATTTGCAACTCGGCCGCCGACGACGCAAGTATGACTTGATCATCGGCGTACAAAAAGCATTTGACGGTTAACTCACCCATTCTCAACCCGCATTCTTCTACTTTCAAATTTTTCAAACAACTGTCCATAAATAGGTTGAACAGCCACGGGGAAGCCACACAGCCCTGTCTGATACCTTTATGGATGCCAAACCAGTCCAAGTAGGCCCCGTTGATCCTGGCACAAGCACTAGAGTCACTATACAGAGACTTCAATGCCTGTATCAACCCAGCGCTAAACCCAAATGAGTTCAGTATTTGCCATAACATATCCCTGTCCACTCTATCATAAGCCTTCTCCAAGTCCATGAACGCACAAAAAACTTTTTGGTTTTTGGCCAAAAACCTCTCCGCGATCATGCGCATGGAAAAGACCTGATCCGTACATCCCATTCCCTTTCTAAATCCCGCTTGCACATCCCAAATTTTTCATTCATATGCATTTAGTAAAAAACTGTTATTTTAACATTACAAACAGACACTTACCTGAAACTAGCCCCACTTGGATTTTTTATTAATTGTTCGACGTTTGTTCGTTATTGTTCGAACATAAAAATTGTTTGTTCGTCTTTTAATTATCTATAATTAATAAAACAAATTTCATCCTTAAGTTGGCCCCCCTTATTGTAAATTTTAACTTTAATCTCTTGAATTAGTTAATTTTTACTAAATACCGTTTGTTCGATCGCTATTGATGATTGTGAGATCATAAATACAACTTAATTGTTAATTATTCAATATTTCTAAGCAATCGACGGAGCCCCGCTCCTATTACTAGGTGGTTTATAAAAAAATAACCACGAAGGGGATAGCGGGCTCTATTCGCTCGCTTTGCTCTCTCACTCTGCCCTGCCATCCCCTTCTAACCTGACCTGTCCGCGTCGGGGTGCCCCTAGTCCCGGGCTCACTTCGCTCGCTTTTATGGTCAATTATTCACAATTAGTGTACGTTCAGATGGCAAGCGCTCAACGCGCGTTTTGATATCGCGCGCTTACAACTACATCAGTTTTATTCAGGCCGTACACATGCTAACGGGCGCTTTAATAAAGCGCGCGTTGAACGCTGCGCTAGCGCTCGACTGTTGTAAGCGCGCGTCAACACGCGCTTTGAGATTATTGGTTTTCTATGTTACCGTTCAGTTGAGCGCGTGCTTTTGATGTGGATAGACGTATTTTAAGGTTCGCTCAGTTCATCCAGAAATCGCTCGAAATGGAAACGTAAGCTTTTAATACCGAATTATTTATAGATGAAATAGAAAAACGTCCTGAGATATGGGACATGTCAAGTAGCGTTTATTCAGATAAGAACTTAAGGAGACGGGCTTGGGAAGAAAAGAATGTTCTTTTTTCGTTTCTTTTTTTTTTTCTTTTGTTCCTAAACAAGTATTGATTTATAAATTTGTGTATTGATTAATAACAACTTTGATTAATAAAAACTTACCTCAATGTAATTATGAGTTTTTTTTTCTGGTGAAATACTATATCTCACAGCGTTTTTATTTGCTACGAGTTCATCGTTTATGAGAGCCAGTAAGTTATCAAATTACTTGATGGACATTCTGAAGTAGTTAAAAAATTTGGGTTTGAATTGCCTTAACTTAAGATACAAAATTATGTACTCGCTTTCAGTCAGACTGTATGAAAAAATTGGGTGGATCCAATATCTCCGTCTTCTGTCGCGTCGTTTCTGTCGTCGGTAAAACAAACACCGCTAAAACTGTTTCTACGTCCATCTTCGACAAGTCAAGTCAAGGTGGCCGCGGCAACGCGCGTGCAACGCCTGACAAGCGCACACCATGTGAACACTACACAAAACTTTTACGCGCGTTGAGCGCTTGTCATCTGAACGTACCCTTAAATTGTATTTATGATCGAACAATCATCGATAGCGATCGAAAAAACGATATTTAGTAAAAAATAATAAATTTAAGGGATAAAAGCCATTGCTTTTATCCCTTGTGTACGTAGTACATTATAACTCAATGAGTTATAATGTACTACGTACTATATAGAGAAGCTATTCGAAACAAAAACTGTGAGCTACTCTATAGCTGAGAACAAATTATAGGACGCGTCCGTCAGCCGCGGCTGACAGACGCGGCTAATTTGAATGTAGCCAGTACATTTAATACTACACTGTGCAAACTATCGGTCGTAAGACGCGGTCGTGCCCTTGGGTCATCCTTGAGCGTTCGGACGTCCGAACAGAATCTAGCCGGCTGGATATTTGTGCGTCCTCGGACGGTGTGCACAGGGCACAGGACGCGTCCGCGGATGTTTCGAGTGTCACAAACGAACCGACCGCGCTCCCGACATGTCAGACGAAGAAAATTTAATTGAATGTGTTCGTGGCCACATAAATGCTACTTTAAAACAGGAAGTGTGGGAGCAAATTGCTGCTGAATTAAACATCATTTTCAATCAGACTAAGCAGAAAATTAAATTGAGTTTTCATTTATTCTTAAGTACATTTTGTAACGTTTATCATCTTTTTGTAAGTCTGGATACAATGTATGAAATTCACCATACTCGAGTCGTTTTACATTAATATCATGGACCCAAACACTCCTTTTCACTTTTTTTTTGGAGGACAACATAAGGCAGCTGCCGCTAACTCTATAAATTCGTCCTCGCTGTCGCTGCTTGTCATGTTTCTCGATTGAAACACCTTTATAGAATGACTGAAGTGAGGCGTCCGAAGACGCCGTCTTAACTACTTATAATTTGTTCTCAGCTTTAGGCTTCGCGCATGCGCGGGAGATAGCAGAATCGCGCATGCGCGGGAGATAGCAGAATCGCGCATGCGCAGTTTTTGTCATCATAGATTATACGTAGGTAGAATGATCAGTATGTAATAAGTAGGGTAAACAGTACTAATGTTGGCACTTTGCTATTTTAATCTGAATATTAAGAATGTTTTCCTTTTTCTATATCACAACTACACAGATATTGCTAAGATATATAATTACTTATACTAACAATACATATTTATATTTAAAGCATCTAATATTTTCCTATAAGGGCTGTTTTAAAAATAATAATAATAATAATCTTTATTTCGGACCAAAATTAATCCATAGTAGTGTTAGTAACAATTGACTTATAAACTAGTGTTAGTAAACATTTAGTCTCATAGTAGTCTCAAAATGTGTATGGACAAATCCGTTAAAACTTAACAAAAAGTTAAGGTTTTGTGGTTGGATTTTGAGACAAAAATGTGATTTTTAGGTAAGTTTATATGCAAGTTTCTGTCTATTTTATCAATTTACGTCATTAACCCTTTTTAAGGTAGCGGCAACTATGTTGCCACCATGTATTTAATCAGTTTTCTTGCAACATTTTAAATTTTAGTCGATTTTTTTATCTGTATAGAACCAGGCCCGTGACAGCTTAGTTCCAATTTATGCAACTTGGCGCTACCGTCGCAAATTTGTTCTCTGCCTACGGACGCCATTTTGAGCATGTTGACACGCCATATTGTGTTAATGTCAAATCATATTGTCAAAAGTCAAAGTTATCGATATTGATTGATTGCCGCCATAACCGAATTTTCCTAAGTTATTACAATATTCTGTTTTTGTGCTGCTCGTGTGAATATTGCATATACCAACATAATGGTATACAAAAAGTGTTGTGTTGGTGGTTGCAATACAACACATGAAACGCACCGGCTTTTCAGTTTCCCTAGGAACGATAATTTAAGAAATTTATGGATGTCTTTCATAGTGCCGACAAATCCCCAGCTCATTGCACTTTCCAAAGAACAGTTACTTAACAAACACGTCTGTGAAAAACATTTTGATATATTTCAGTTCGACAATGAAGGCAGAAGACTTCGATACTCCTACCCGTCCTTGCTTACTGACAATGAAATAGCTCATGGTGTGCCTCTAATTGCAACAGGTGAGTTATTTTATTACTTTCAATCATGGTACTTAAGACGTCTCTATACATTCTTGGGCCCAAGTGTTAACAAGATGAAAGTACGTATAATAAAGCGTATATATAAACAATTCATAGCTGAAAATCTGGCAAGATTTGTCAATCTAGGAACTTATTGTAAGGAAGTTATTGTAGAATAAGTAAAAGTGAGATTATCTATTGGCTACACTGTAACAGGTGATTTTTCACTATTATTACACAGTAACAGGCTATTTTTCGCTATAATTACTTCAATATTTAAAAGCAAGATCATTAAAAAATCACCAAAAAAGCTGTGGTTAATAATGAAACGAAATGGTCAAACGATTAATGAAAGTTAAAACAACAACAACTAAGTGAAGTGAATATTAGGGATTCTGATCTTATAGATGTGCCAACTTAGAAAATTTTGACTTGATTTAACTCGAGTTGAAATTCACGCAACTTGAGTTAGCAGTACGAATCAGAGTAAATGATTTGTTACAAATTACTTTTTTATAAATTTGTTTTTCTATCTAGCTCTTTGATGGGTTGAGATAATTATAATTTCCTTTTTTATATCTATTAAAACTTATTATGTAGGATTGATATGAAAAGGTATATTTAGTATGTATCATATACTTATGTATTAGTCTAGCTTTAAGATGTAGGTACATAAGCTATTACTAGTTTAATTACAAAAGGTTGAAGTTTAAAGTCAAAATATTCTTAAATAAATTCAATATATTTATTGTGAGTTAAGTGTTACATTTGGCGTTAATTTAAAGTATGATGATACTATATTGATCATAATTAATCAAAATTATATAGGGAATTAAATTACACAACTAGCTATAATAAAATTCTAAATAACAAATTGTTTTGGTTGTAGCTAAATACTCTTTGAAACGCAAAGCGCGCACACAACAAACAAATTGCACTTTTACTCTTTTGCTAGCTCACTTGATCCGTTCATGTACAGCAACCCAAACTCAAGTTAGGAAGATTCAACTCGAGTTAACGCATCACTAATCTATCTGAGATCGATTACTTGAATTATTGTTGTAGCTGTTACTTGTTGGAATGTTGATATTTTGTATTTTTTATTATTGTTTCGTAGATAGAGGATTGACTAGATAAAGCATTCGCGTATGCTTTTGAGATAGAAATAGGCGGGAGGTACTTTCACTGGGTTACCAGATATTGTTCCATTTCCCCCGTTATGCGTTTATTTATATTCACAGCACTTACATTCATACAAAAAACTTAATTGTTACCATAAAAAAAGTTCTTATATAATTCAGATGATTAATTAATTTCTCTTGAAAATACATTCTGTGACAAAAACTACTGGCGGAAACGGCGTAAAAACAGAATCATCATTCTGTATTCAACGGCGCATCGACGATTTTACTGGACATTCAATAAACTCTTTGGATTTCGACGATCAGCGACGAGCATTGTCCTGATAACAGCTAAATAATGGTTGACAACCCGCTTTCCAAGCGTTGAAACTATGCCAAATAACTATAATCATGTTTATGTTCAACAGTGGACTTTTGATAGACTGTAAAGATATATATTCTATTTAAATGAAAATATATTGAAATTTAAAAAGGAAAAAGAACTAAATTTTGCGTACTTACACAACTTTTAGAAATATTAACAATGTTACATAAAGTAAAACAAATGAAAACACAATTATATATTAAATATAATTCAATCAAATTAAAATAAACAAACGATTATTTATTAATTTTTCAACACATTAATAAACAATAAATTTAACAAAATTTTTGTCTTCTTTCTAGAGCATTAGTTGTAATGCTTGGTTTGAGTAGCCTTAGAATTTCTCAAAAATATGCATTTGTAAACTTGATTTATACCTTTGCATGGCAGAAATTCTTGGGTGCTGGTCGTTAGAATCAGATTAGGAGTGTATATATATATATTATTTGCCTTGTATACAATATATTTTAATGGTATAAATAATAAGGTACAACTCCTAAACTATACTTAGATAGGTAATACTTATCTCTTATTTCTTAATTTATTTACACATTAATGTTTATAACACCTTTATAAAAGGGATTAAGGGTGGACTAAATGTCCCATTGGTAGGCATTCCCAGTCAGTTTTACAATTATTATTGCATAATAAATTATTAATTTGTATATTTAGGTCAGGATTTTAAATTACTTATTTATTTATTTTATTTAAATCTTTATTTGCATAAAACATGGTAGTACAGATAAAGTTCCAACATTTGTAAATGAGGATTCATGTTTAATCAATACATCTACAAATAAATATTTTGTCTTTGTCATGCCCCCAATTATTACAAGTCATAATAATACAGAATGTCAGCATTTGAAAATAAAATAAGCAATGCTAGTCAATTTTTAATACATACAGAACAATGTCAAAAATCATAACTACCAACAAGATCAAACTTATATCACTTATGGAGAAACAACAAGATACAACAAGAAATTATAACATTTAAAAAATTATCTTAATTATATTATAAATTACATAAGTTAAGCAAATTTAGTCCATCTAAAACAATGAGGCTTAAAATGTTTTGAGCATACACTGCTAAGTTTTGTTGGTTACCTATAAGCACTACCAGTAGCGATTATCCAACTGTTACTGATAGCTGATTCCTTAGGAAAGTTGTGAAATAATATATTTAAAAGAAATTAATATATTAAATATATAGTACACTTTTATATCAAGGTATTTAACAAAAGAAAAATCAAGTATGTGTATCTGTGCATAAACACAATACCTATAACAATTAAAACAATATCAACTGATTTATTTAAATAGCAAGTATATGTAAATGTAATGATAATATTATTCATACCAAACATTTAAAAAAATTATGTACATATTAAGATTTAGATATTGTTAATTAATACATTTACAGCCTAACAAATGTCCTCCACTGCTGAACATAGACCTCCCACACAGTTTGTCTCCAAATAACTGCAGTTGCCAATTCTCCTGCCAAGCTAGGCAACTATCACAAAACCCATAACTTTTGATACTGACTAATGGTAATGGTAAATATATTATCATCAAATTTTTTCTACATCATTAATTGAGAATATTATCTTATGTTGTTGTGTTATTGTGTACCTTAAGATTAAGACTTATTTATTATTCTATCTATATTTATATCTATTTTTATATTAGCATGACATTTTTTGAATAAATATTGTAATGTAATTGTTGCTAATCTATAATAGAATGATTGGAATGCAATAAAGTTTTGTGCATCTGATTTCAAGCAATACATATTTTGTGAAATTAAATATACTTTGCCCAATATTTATGTACTTGAATCCAAACATGTTTTCAGCTTGATACTTACATATTATTTGTGAAGTCTATGTAATATAGAAAATGATTGAAGAGTTGTAGGGCAATAAGGACTTTCCTTTAAAGCTGAACATAAAAGTGTATACATATAACATTATGTGAATCATATTTATGGATATAACTACTAATCACAATAAATATTATTATTGAACAATGCGAAAACTTTATTGTACTCGCTGATATCCCTAAAGTTTCTATAATCCTACCAAATCAAAAAGTACACGTTTGTTATGACTTTAAGCTTTCGAATGACCGTTCAAATTAAGGAGCATTATCGTGAAAAATTTACAATTTGGGAATCTAAATATTTGACAAAATACATCACAAAGTTCATTAAAAACATGAAATGTTACACTTTATATTCAAAACAATAGATATTAATCAGTACAAATAGCAAATGTAAGCACAAAACAAACTTACCGATGAAAGGTGATATTATCAATTTTTCGTTGACTGATGCTGTTGCATCCTAAAATGCTACAACTTACCATCTTTTTCACCTTACCTAATAAATAAGATCCACAAAAAACACTAAATTCAATTACCTGTTTGCTTATAATATCAATATTATTCAAAAGAGCTTGACATCGTTAATGTCAAATAAAGGAGGGAAAACAATCAAAAACGCATACCTAGAAAAAGACATGAAATATAGATTTGCTTCTCCCTTACTCTTATGTCTAACTATATACGTGCATTTCTTTCACACGCTGATGACGTCACTGAATGTTTAGTCTATAAGATACTATGTCTATGTATTGTTTTGTAGACAAGTATGCAATTATTTTTTATCTCCCTAGTTAACACAGAAAAATAATCAAAAATAGATATTAAAATGCTCAATTTAATCGAGAATCGATTATTATATTATAGATATTATGTAATAAACAATGTTGAATAAAAATCATTCTATTCTATAAAAATATCACAATATCGAAAAAGCAGCAATTTATTACAAATTTCCAAACATTGCATGTGGGTAATTTTTTTCCAGAATAAGCATTTTGTAGGTTGGCTAACTAAGGACTCTCTTTTTACTCTTTGACTTTATGATTAGTTAGGTACAAATGTTATTGACTCTGCATCGTTATTTGCTATGATTATGTAATGTTTTCAGGATGGGATGTCACAACTGAACATAATTATTGTAAAGTGCAAGATGACGATGATTTCACAGAAGCTGTGGTAGTGATTAGAAAGCCTGGTATGTACAAATATCTTAATTGATGTTAATTGTAAATTATAGTAAACATATTATGATGAACACTGTGATTTGATGTATGTAAATTTCAGTCAGTGGCAAATTTTTCAACATTTTGAATAATGTTTTCAGGAAGTGATGTTACGATTGAACACAATTACTGCAAAGAGCAAAATGATTGTTCCAAATCATCGGTAGAGATTGGATCATCAGGTGTGTACTAATATTCATGTAGTACTAGTTACTAAGTAGCAAAAAAAGCTTTCTAACTATTTCATAAATTTACTAACCGTTCATTTTCTAATAATGTGTTTGCCTTATCATACTGACATCTATAAAAATGCAAAATTGTAACAAATTTCAGATGTTGGAAATTCTCATGAACAGCCTTCATGTTCAAATTTTTCAACTGTTGCAACAGTTGTAGAAAATAAAGGTATGTGAAATTGTATTGGACATAATTTTTTATACATTTATGTAGGGATCAAATCAAAAGAAGTACTTATATGTCGGGTAATAGAAAAAATACTTTAAATGCTTATAAACAGGCTGTGGACTGAAGGTGTCACTGCATACCTAGAACTGCATCAGTTCTAGAGGATAGTTATGTGTATTTGATACTAGACACTAGGATAATATTGCATGCCTTAAGTGCAAAGCACGTAGGTATGTTCTACTAGCGCCTAAAAATCAAGATTTCAACGTTTTGTCGCATGAAATCGTATCTAACAATTATATTTGTTTATTTTTCAGATACATTCCTGGAGCAACCTCCAAGTGCAAGTACCAAAGGCATGGAGATAGATGTTCTCGAAGAACTCGTAGGTTTGTCTGCTTATACTAAACTAACTTTTATTAACAGTAGCTAGATTTAATGTAGACATACAATACAGAGAAGCATACATTGTAAATTTGTTATTTAATATTGAGTTTATGTTTAAGACCATAACATTCATAACTATTGCTTCTTTTCAGGAATTGATTCTAATGTTAATGTGGTGAATCAAATGTTGCCAAAAGGTAGCACATGTACAAAAAAGCAAAAAGGTATTATAAATTCAGTTTATTCTTAGACATAATTAGAAAAAGTTTCAATATCTACCTCAAATCACAATAAGAGTTCTTTGTTCTTCATCTAATCCCAAAATTACAGTTCCACTACACTTCAATGGTTTTATCAACAACTCCTTTACTGTTAAGGTTACATTTCTCTGGAAGTCTTCCCCTGATGACATCCACACTATTTGTTATCTTTTCAAAGTGAATACATTAAAAGTTTAAAATAACAATATATAAATAATAAATTAATATTTTTAAGTGTATCATTCAGTCATAAAATATGAATATAAAACTTAATTATTTTATTTATTTCACTTCAGGTTCGGTGAAGAAAATAGTATCAAGGAAAAGAAAATTGGTTAAAATTTTGACTAATATTGCTACTGAAACTTTAAGTGACTCAGTATCACAAAGACTTGATCAAGCCCAATCCCTATCAAGAAATAAAGACCTTTTGGAAAACTTTTTGTTAAACAAACAAGCGCAGACTTTCTTGTTTATGCAATTAAAACAAATTCATAAAAGCAAAATGGCCAGAAGGTTTACCTTAGATGAAAAATTAATGGCGTTGCTCATAATGAAACAAAGCCCCAAAAGTTATAAACTATTAGAAAAAATGTTTGCCTTGCCTAGTAAACGGACATTAAATAGACTTTCTGAGAAGGTTTCAATACAACCAGGACTCAATCCATTAATATTTGAACATATATCAAATACAACCAAAAAATGGGACACTAAACAAAAGCTATGTACAATCGTTTTTGACGAAGTCTCTCTAACACCACATTTAACTTTTAATGAAAAAGATGATATAATTAATGGGTTTGTAGATATAGCTGGAGAGAGAAAACTGAAATATTGTGATCATGCTTTAGTTTTTATGCTAAGAGGAATATGCTCTCCATGGAGACAGAGTGTAGCATTTTATTTCTGTGAAGGCACAGTATCAGCAGCAGAGCTGCAATGCATTTTAAAACAGATTGTGCCCCAAGTGATACGAACTGGGTTAATACCTTTAGGTCTTGTTTGTGACCAAGGGTCCACATTTCGAACAGCAATAAGAAGACTTAGGGAAGATACAATTCGTAGGCGGAATATTCAAGGTGTTCATGATGGTGTGTACCATTATTAATTACTTAAAAACTAGTTCTACTTCATGACAAATATTATATATTTTAATTATTTTACAGATGGATCGGTTAATATTGCTGATCACGATTTAAGCATATTTTTTGACCCACCTCATCTCTTAAAGGGCTTAAGGAATAATTTTTTAAATAAAGATATAATTTGGGAAGAAAAAACTGCCTCTTGGAAAGATATTGAGTTCATTTTTGATTTGGATAGCAAATTGGGGCACACAAGGGCACTACCAAAGTTAACGGCTCATCATGTTGATCGCCAAAAGATCAAAAAAATGAAGGTCAGCGTAGCTGCTCAAGTATTTAGTGCTCGAACTGCTGCTATGCTCAAATATACAAATGCACTCAGTAAGTAACGATTGCTATATTGATTTGTAGGCTTATTCAATTTATGTATATACTATTGTAAAATTTGACCAGAAGTCTCAATTTGTAAAAAAATGGTTAAAAAAGTCTGTTGTTGTAACCAAATAAGAAGTGTCTTTTTGGCGAAAGATTTGCAGGTACAACTGTAAAAGAAATTAAATTAAAAAGTACTTTTTTCTTTTCAGATTATTTTCATACTGCAAACTCTGACGCAACAATGGCCACAACAGCAGAAGTTGTTGAATTCTTCGACACACTGTTTGACAGCGTCAATGGCTACCCGGGTGGTGTGCAAAGAGGAAAGTTAAGACGAGCGGTTAAACAAAATTCACAACATCACACTTTTTGGATTGAGGCCATTAATAAAATTAAAAAAATGGTTTTTGTAGACACCAGTAGCAAACATGCTACAAAAGCAGGAAAACCTCGACTTGTGCGAGTGCCATCCCAACAAGGATGGATTACAACTCTTGAAAGTTTTATAAGGGTCTCCAAATTGTTATTTGAACAGTATAATGTAGAATATTATTATCCGAGGAATATTAATCAAGACCCATTAGAAAATTTTTTTGGCCGTATAAGAGCTATAAATTATAGAAATGTTAACCCAGATGCAAACACATTTATATATGCCTTTAAATCTTTGATGTTATCTAACATGCTTAGTCCACATTCCAAATTCTCTAACTGTGAAGAGGATAATGGAGAAACATTATTAAATGTTAGTCTTCTTTTTAAAAACCTTCATAATAATAAAGAAAATGACTCGGAAAACACTGTCAGTATTTCGCGAGATCTCCCATCTTCTTCACAAGCAAGTTCAAGAGAAAAGTTGCTGGTGAATGATGTAGTCATGGAAAAAATCAAAGTCCACTGCTCAGCTTAAACTGCTGGATACATTTGTCGGAAAATAACGAGAGCGATTCGTTGTAAGGATTGCATCAAAACATATATTAGCAGTACGGAGACAAACATTCACTCTTACATTAAATTTAGAGAGTATAAATTGTTAAAAAATAATAATTTGGCATACCCTAACGAAAAATTCCTTATCTTGTACAGGGATGGTACTCACTTTATTCATAACTATTTGAATTATAGCTGTATTGGAAGTAATATAAAAAGTAATTTGAAAAGAAAAATATTGAGCACTTTGAGTTTTTCCTGCCTAGGGTGTGATAAGCATGCCTTAATTGTAAAAAACTTTTTCACCAATATTTTAATTAGATTACATGGACACAATTGGTGCAACATAAACAATAAAATATTGAAGGGTGATATTGATGAAAAATATGTATCTAAAATGGGTGAACCCCAAAAATTGGCCTTAAAGAAGTATAAAAGTCTTAGGTTAAGAAAAAAATGTTTAAGTAAATAAAATGTTGATGAAGTGACGACCTGGATATGCAGGTGGCTTAGGACCGTGCTTTGTGACATTTCTTGGGGGAGGCCTACGTTTAGCAGTGGACTTGTGAAGCGCTGTAATGATGACGGTGGTTAAATAGAATGTTCGGATTCCTGGAACGTAAACTCTGTTTCAGGTCCCCGCAAACCAAGTATATAACGAGGCGATATTGCGAATAGCTATGTTGTGTGTGCCGGACAGGTACGTGTGGTGCCGGAAGCGGCCCCCACCATTCGAGACACCGCGCGCACGTACCTTCCAAACGAGGCCCACTGACCCGAGTGCTGCACACTAAATAAAGTAGCTCAGGATGTAGATTTATTCTGCTGTTCCTTGGGTGAATTTACCTAAGTGACATTATATTATGTATTATGTTATAATAGTAGATAAGTTGTGTTCTGTCCTTATTAAATTAGATAGTTTTATATGCCTACACTGTCGTATTAGGTACGCCTGTAAAGACAGAGGTAGAAATAAATAAATAAAGTTACTCCCTAAAAATCTCTGGTCTGTAGCAACCTAGAATATGCTTCTATAGCGCGGAGTCGATTTTATGCTACATTACGCTATTAGCATCTTGAGCATACTTGTTATTTTTAATGTTGATGTCGATATTTGTTTATTTTTCAGATGCTTATCACGGAACAACCTCCAAGTGAAAGTACCAACACCAAGGAGATAAATGTTCTTTTTAAAAGTAATTTATGTTACCATATAACTTAGTTATATGATAATATAGATTACTTTTTAATTACGATTATACTAAACTGTCGTTAACAGTAACCATACAGAGTTAATACATACAATATAGATGTATACATTATATATTTATTCTTTAATTTTGGGTTTATGTATAAGAGCATAAAATTCACAAATATTGTTTGTTTTCAGGAATAGAAATCTGATGTGAAAAGCTGATGTGGTGAGACAAATGTTGCCAGAAGATACAAAATGTACACATTGGCAAAATGGTATGATAAATTCAGTTTATTCTTATACATAATTAGGCAAAATTTCAACATATCTATTATATCTATATTCAGCATATCTATCATCAAATCACAATAAGAATTCTTTATTCTTCATCTAATCTAAAGATTACAGTTCCACTACACTTCAATGGTTTTATCAACAACTCCTTTAGTATTAAGTTTACACTAATTTGGAACTCTGTGCCTGAAGACATTGAGACAGCTCCTGATAATGGATGTATACAATGTAAATATTTATATATTTTTTATTTCTTATTTACTGCATCTATCACTTTATTTTCACCACACCATGGCTGACCGAAAGAAAATGCAAACTGCCATGAAGCCCTATTTTACCTTAATATGAATAATATATGATTTATGATTATCATTCAGTCATAAAATATGAATATTGGACTTTATTTTTATTTATTTCTTTTCAGGTTACGTGGTGAAGAAAATGAAATAAAAGAAGAGATGTTAAAATTTTAAAAAAAGGTTGTAACTTGTGTGCAAAAAAAAGGGTGAACAATCCTCACAAAGACTTGCTTAATGTCCAATCTATTTTAAAACTGTAGAGAACTATTTGAAAACCTTTATTTTATGTTAAACAAATAACTTTCTTATTAATACAATTAAAATAATTTTGTAAAAAAAATGGCCAGGCCAAAAAAGTAACTTGAAAAGTAAAATATTAAGCACTTAAATATGATTCATGTGGTTTAATTTGCTTTATTTAATGAACTATAAATATTGCTTTGTTTCTCGTCAAATTGTACTTATTTATGCACAATGTTATGTACGATTTTCTAATTTGTTTATATAACTTAATGTGCCTTTAATTTAATCCTAAAATTACGTATGTATATGATGTAGGTGTGCTTGAATAAAAAATAAATGTTAACGTATTATAAGTGTTTCATTAAGTAATATTATTATTCCTGTATAATGCACTTCTGTCGATATCGATAAAATAAGAACACCACTAAACATCGATATCGATGATTTGAAGGATGTGTGCTTGCAATCTCTAAGCTATATTTTTTTTTATTACCGTAAAATGGGGTCAATAGAAACAATTCCAACTTTCAAACCTATAATTTTAATATTATACCTATCGCAATGAGGTTAGAGTCGTTTTTATTACGGGAGTCTTATGCTGTTTCCCAACCAAATTACTAATAAATCGTGAAATTTTACTTTATCTTTGAGAAAAGCTTAAAAATCTCCTTATTTTCTATTTACCTGGAATACGGGGTGAATGGATACGACAAAGGGGCGAATAGAGAAAAACAATAGGGTTGTCAACCAATACCTTAGGTATCTACTTATTTTGTTATGGAAGTTAACTACATAAATAGGTACAAACACCATTTTACTAGGGGAACGGGACGGGATAGAACAACAATTACCGAGTGACATAAATAAAAATAAACATTGAATGAAATTTATTAATAATAATATTATTATAGAATAAGGTTTAACTTGATATCAATCTATGAACAAACATAAACAATAATTTATTAACTTTCACAAACATATTATGAAATCCACGATTATAAAACTCTTTCACATGGATGTAAGACCTGAAAAACCATAAGCAATCACATGCTTTAGCATGTGAGTGCTCAGTAGCAACGGAAGAATCCAGTCAACAGCTTTCGCAAAGTTAATAAAAATAGACTAATAAAAAAAACTTAACGCGTCTTATCATCTAATAACAACATTTAAACATAAATTGCACTCAAAACACAAGATTCGCAACTTTACCTAATCCTTCATTAATTCATAAATAATTTCCTCGTCATTCCTATAGTAATTTAGCTTCTTTGGTTGATTTCTAATGATGTTCTGCTTATTACCTATTGCAGCCTTTGATATGATTTTCAATTTGGTGCTTGGCGGGATTAATTTCAAAGCACCAATTGATATGGTGTCTTTTACCAATTTAGAATTAGTTATGGATATATCTGACAATATTTTAACTTTGTCACTTTCTTTAATTTCATTATTCGAAATCGTATTATCAGAATAGTTTTTATTATCATTTTCTACTGTTTCTGTATGGTCAATTACAATATCATCTCCAAACATTACAACCGGCATTGATTCTATGCCTAGGTAATTATCAGTCAAAGTTGGTTCGTTTTCAACTATAGGTGCATTTAATGGCGTTTTTGTTTTTTTTCCTACTCCCTTTCCTTTAAATGTACTTTGTTCATTATTACATTCGTTCTGATCTTTTTTAGTATCCTTTACTCGTTTCTCAGTCTTTTTTTGTTTCTTCTTTGGTTCTCTGTTTTCAACTTCGGTTTCAACGTAACTTTCTTCAACACTTGCACACTTTCCAGGTTCTACTTCTATTTTTCTCTTTCTTTTCGGTTCAACAACGTTTGTGGTTCCGTAACGCATTTCTTTCAGTATATCTAGAACAGATTCATTTACAGCTTCGATGCGGTGCTTATTATCTTCATGTTCAGGTAGTCTATTTAAAACTTGTATAGGATCAAATGGATTTATACCAGTTTTTCTAAAACCGGCCAAAATATTTTCTTTGGCGTTAACTTTGAGAGTGTCTATTAATTTGGATAATAATGTCGGAAAATACCCTTTAGGAATTGTGGCTAGTTTGCGACCGTCCGTTTTTTTCCATTGAAATATTATATTTCTCCATGCCATTTTCATCGGCCTGAAGAAAGCCACGTCGAGAGGTTGTGTGATATGAGTTGAATTTGCTGGCAAAAATATAAAATGAATATCTTCCTCATAGCACAATTTTATGAGGTCAATAGAAAGGTGTGATGACAAGTTATCACCAATTAAGATTTTTTTGCCAGACTTCCCTTGAAAGTAAGGTATGATTATGGATTTTACCCAATCCTCAAATATTGGTCCATCGAACCATCCTGATTGCGATCGGTTGTACCGCGTCCCTTTTGGCCCTTTACTTATCCAAGTGTCGTACAAATTCTGCGATTTGTAAACGACATAGGGGGGCAATAAATCTCCTTCAGCAGTACAAGAGAACATAACTGAAACGGCAGATTTTGAATGATTCATGACGCGCTCCGGATACTTAGTGCCTTTTCTGGCTATAATTTTTTTCCGTCCCGGATCATCAGCTAGATTAGTCTCATCGTAGTTTATTACGTTACACATACATACATCATTTAATGATATCTTTAATTCCTCAAAATATTTTTTTATTATTTCTTCAGAAACCGCAGCTCGATTTCTTTTGATATTTTGAGATATCCTGTGAGAAATAACGTCTCTATGCCTTTTTAAAAAACTAGCAACAAAGTCTGGTCCAGGCATGTTATTTTTGAACCGTTTTTCATTAACGCCCAATCTGTCAAGATATAGTTTTACAAGTAATCGTAAATCATACGCTTCTAGAGGATAACCCCAGTTTGCACAAATATTTATATATTTTATAAATTCCTGCTCTGTATCTTTCGACAACACAGTTTGACCTCCGTGAGTTTTCATCGTTTTATGGCAATGTCTATATAAAACCGATCGGTGTATTTGATATTTTTTTGCTATTGTATCCAATGAACTGCCGCCTTCAGAATATTCATCTACAGCCTTTTGTATTATGTTGGTATCGTATTTTTTATATCTCCTACCGCGAGGATCAGGTTTATAAACCCGTGGCATGTTGATTTCAACGTCGTAAATCACCTGTGTAAAAATAAAAACATAAGTACAAATATAATATCTATCTATGATAAAGTGCCATCCCTAACAATTATGTTTCTATTAACCCCTTTCTCGTTTCTATTAAACCCTTACTCGTCTTTATTCACCCCTTTCTCGTTTCCATTCACCCCATACTGCGTTTCTATTTACCCCTCAGTCGTTTCTATTCACCTCTGATTCAACAAAAATGTAGACTCATACACTTTTTACTAAACATATCAGCTAAAACTAATTTGTTTGGATAACTTACTTTTGTAAAATAAGCACAGGACACCAAACTACTACACGAATAGATTTTCTTAGCAAAACCACCAATATAATTAATTTTATAGGAAAGTTTCGAGCAGCACAAATCACACTGGTGAGACAGTTACTGTTTGAAGTTATATTTTTCTTAATGGTTATCAACTTCAGGTTAATCAAATGTTGCCAAGTTAAAAAAAGAATGCTGCTCTATGTAAAAATGATAAAAAAATTACAATCAAAGAAGAATTGTCTATGCCATAGCCTTTTTTCGAAATTCCCAATAATTATTCTATTAACCCCGTGAATTCTATTCACCCCGTTTTACGGTACTCATCTGTCAAAATGGGCGACTGCAGCGCCAAAACGCATAGTTGGGAAACTTGACTAAAAGTAACCAAAAGTAACTGTCGTATCTGTAGCTTGCTACATATATATTTATCTATGTATAGAACACTGTTAAATATATTTCAATGTCAAACTTGTTATTACATTTTCAAACGTCATAACTGTCATTTGAAGTTGACGCGAGTTTAAAAATTGCCGATTTCTCAGAGTTTTTTTTAAATCTAGTTCAATCTCGAAATTGTGTCGCTGTTTCGGTAAGTTTTATTTATTTTTTCAACGCATTGGGGTAATAACGATAACATAAAGCTATTTTTTTTTTGTTTGGGTTGACTGCTTGTAGAAAAATGGAATTTGTTAAGGTGGCAATATAATTGCCTCTGCCTTATGGTGTGTGATGCATGGCTTGGTGTTCAAGTTGTTGTTTTTATCGTTTGTAGGTAAAATTGCCGCGACTTCTGAACAATGATGCTATCGAGGACGAATTGCAGAGTTTATTTGGTCTTCCTGACGATCCAGAGGTATCCGAAGACGAATGTGAACCTGAGCCAGAATCTTTTACTGACTTAGATGTCAGTAATATACTGAGTGGTTCTGATATAGATACTGTCCTTTCTTGTTCCGGAGTTGAGGAGGTGCCGCATCAGGACCTTGTAGAGTCAGCTTCATCAAATAGCTTACATACTGAAGAGCCTTCAACAAGCTCTGCTGAAGTTCAACCATCAACATCCGATCTTCATTTGGATAGGCGCCGCTTTCGTATCAGCGAATCTTCTCCAGAAGTTCCTCCCCTTTGTTGTCCCAGTGTCGTAGCTCCATCACCAATACCTTCAGTACCAAGTACAGCCATAATGTCTGATACAGATGAATCTAATACTGAAGAAGATGAATGGAAAAAGGTTCTTTACTCACAGCATCCCGATATAGAATACTTTGATGGCATAAACTTAGAAAGCAAACAATTTATGCCAAGTATAACCAGACCTGCTGTTTATTTTTCGCATTTTATTTACCACAAACTTATAGATAATATAGTATTTGTAATGTGGCAAGACACAAAACTTGTTACACTTCCGACCACTGCCTTTCATCCAAAAATAAATAAAACATTCTGTGATCGAACTCAGAAAGATGGTTCTAAAAAGGCTATTCGATGTCCACTAACCATACTACATAATACAGAGCGCATGGGTGGAGTAGACCGATTTGATCAGAAACGGAGCACTTACGAAGTTGGCAGGAGGAGCAAGAGCTGGTAGCTCCGAATTTTCTATTTTTGTGTAGACTTGGCCATCACAAATTCATTTTTGCTCTACTCTACAAACAAGAGGGTACACAATCCACTTTCACAACTGCATTTTAGGTTGTGTCTGGCCCGTGGTTTCATCAACAATTATTCGCCTAGGAAGAGAAGCCTGGAGAGCCAGCCCTAATACTCCATGAAACTGCCAAAAATTTCCACCAATCGACAAATAAGGCACTGCGCCACGGAGCTGTCAGTACTAATAAAAAAACTAGATGCACAATTCCATACAAAGTTCTCTAAAATCTGTCGCCAAATGTTTTGACGTAATTCTAGTTGATATAGATATACATTAATGTAAATTCAACCTTAAATGCATTGCCTAAAGTTGTATTGACAAAGCTACGTACAAAAAGAAATAAAATCTTACAACCGAGGCTCGTCGCTTGAACAAGGAGAGTGGAGTCGAACTGCACAATATTTTTTGTTACTGTAATTTTAATTTTATAATTTTGTTAAACTTGTTTTAAATAATTGGTCTACTTAATAAAGCATATTCTATTCTATTCTATTCTGTGGTGTATATGTGTAATGGTTATATTATTACCTGAATGTAAATATGCTTTTGGATAGGGCACCACATTCATTTAGTAATGAAAGTAATTGAACAGTCATAATTATGTATTTATTCTTTATCTTGTGTGAAAAATTTAAAGAAATTGCTTGACAAACAACTTAAATCTAAATATAATAGTTACTAAATATAAAAAATAAGTACAGAAAATTCTTGCAAAATCTAAGAATATTATTGTCCAAATTTTTGACGTAATGTCTGAATAGTTATAATGATTTCTTATATTTACGCGTTCACTACATATTTAAATAAAACTAGTTTTACGGATTTTATCGCGTATATTAACTTATTTTATATTCCCGACGTTTCGAGATATTACGGAAAACGAAATGCGTATTTTTTTTTCAATATGGAAAGTGCTGAATAATGTGATAATTCAACCCCGTTCAATATTTTGATTACATGATTGCTTCGCTACAATATCAAACCTTACGGTAACTAGTGGCGGCGTAGCGTGGGTTTGCACCCAGGGCGGTTCTCTATCAAACACCATAATTTAACTTAACATTGTAAGTAATATGGGGATAGTGTTGTGGGCTACATCATTGTGAATACATCATGTTATTGTATTTTAGATATTACTGTAATTTGTTGCTGTTTGCTGTTCCTTAATAAATAAAATAAAGCACTCCCCAAAATAAAACAAAAAATGCTATACATGTTAACGGGACTTTATTTAGCTAAAATATTGTAATATATTATCACTTCACATCACACACTTTCTTGTCATTTTTGATAGATAAAATGAAAAGATTGGTTAGTCCCGCTTCGCTCATTGTGGACCTTAAGTTAGATTTTCTTAACTTGAGTTTTGAAAAGCTTCCTTCACATGAAACTTAATAGTAAAAAAAATCTTAGACGCAGCGTTAGACTTGGAACAGATTCAGAACAGCCCAATTTTACGAGGAAAGCTCCAATGAATTACATTGAACCGCTTCTTGGGAAGAAATGCTGGCAGCTTTCAAGTCGTAAAATCTCCAAAATTATATATCCTACAGAAAAATCAGCGTATATTTTTGTCAGATTTTGAACTACGAAGACCTTCATCTGGTGACGTTAGCAGAATGTAAGGCTGAACAACATTAAATGTTACGACAGTATCATCCATTGCTCTGTAGCGATGGTCTAGTTCCTCGTAAAATCTGTCAAGACATTCTAAAATAGCTCTCTGCAGCTCCTCTGGCACTGTTGGTCCAGCATATCGGGTCAGTTCTCCTGGTAAACGTTTTCGAAATCTCTTCATTCCTCTTCTTCCTTCAATCGAAATGTTTTTCTCTCTGTAAATTCTCAGAATTTTTTGTTACGTAGGAAATGGCTTTTTCCACCAGTTGAATACGTTGGCTTTGAAGAAAAATTTTGGGGTTTTGATTTTTATCACATACTTTTCCAGTGATAATCTAGATTATTATTATATTATTTAATATTTACTTTTGTGTCTAACTAACCTCTTTTAGGATTTTACACGAAAAGGAAAGATAGCATAAAAACTGAAGTCACACAAAGCTGGTAAGTGTGTAGATGGTGTTTCTCTTGTATCGACGTTTTCTCTGTTGGTGCTGTGATCATATATATCTTCGAGTGTTTATACTAGTTTTTTAAATTATTCTGCAGTGGTTTAACAGCGTCATGATGAGCAGTCCATCTTGTCTTTGAGAGTCTTTTGACGGATACGCCTACACTTTTCATTAAAGTTTCCCATTGACGTGTCGATGACGATAAGAACCTGTAATCTCTTTCTACTGTTCTGAAATAAAGTGAAATGTATCTTCACGATTGAACTTTTTGTTAAATTCTATATAAGTCTTTATACTCGAGCGGCAATTCAGAATAAAAACCGTGTGACAGCTGTGGATCGCGGGTAGCCGGCAAGGTAAATATGCTGGTTACGGTGGCAACCATGGCAACGGCGGGGCAGGGGGTGCTAAGGATCTCCGGTGGAGCTTTGGTTACCAACTAAGACGACTCCACCTGGCTACATATAACGCACGTACCCTGACGACTGACGAGGAGATCCTGGAGCTGGAAGATACGAGATAGATAAGATGCGCTGCAATATTATAGGATTATCTGAGGCCTAGAGAGGAAGAGAGAAAATTGAGGCCTTATCATTTATGTCATTTATTCAGAAGAAAAACCTATACATAATATACACAAATATATTGATACATTCGTTATTATTAAACTATTCATTTATAAGTATTTCTGGAATTCATTCATAACCTTAGAGTAATTACACATAGAGTGATAGTGTCTTTCAAAGTTCCGTTTAAAGTTGAAGCACAGGATAAATAATAGTACTAACGTACAGAAGTTGCACTCCTTTGATGTTGACTGCTTGCCGACGTTTTAATAGCCTACATAGTTATTATTAATTACATAAATCGCGCACGCAAGCTAAGTAAAATTTTATCGCTGCGCGCGAGGGTCCGTATTACTTTGCATCTTTTCTCCTTACTACGTCACAACGGAATTTCCGTGTTGCTAAGGGCTGTT